GCATATTTGCAGGAGTGTGCCAGTTTCTCCCATGAGTTACTGTTTCTTCTGCCCTCCAATGATCGATTTGCGCCTGTATATCAGCTCCTGTTAAATTAACGGGTGGAGGGACATGTACACTTTTGTTCTTCATAAATAACCTCTTGTTCCTCCGATATGGATGGTTATCCGGCAAAAACCTCCGGTGACCATCAAACCAACAAGTTTTTCTACCATGTTTTAGCTGAAACGCATCAGTTCGATGAAGACAATAAGGACAAGATAGCCTCCCATGTGTAGTCCATCCTGATAGCATACCATAAGCGGGGAAATCGCTTATTGTCCACATAAGCACAACCCGCATAGTAAAATTTTTCCTCGTAGAACAGTCATATGTACGAACGCCAGTATACCATAACTGATTCAACTCATGTATGAGTGGCTGAAGAAATACATCGAGAGTTCGCTTCGGATGATTTGGACCTGGAACCAAAATACTTAGGAAAAGAAATTCCCTTTGCATGCACAAATCTGGAGGAAGGTTATAAGGAGTTAGGATTACTGGCCATAATGAATATTGTCTACCAGACATACCAAATGGACTAAAACCATCAGTGCACAGACCAAGATAGACATTTCGTTTGAACTTAGCAAAATCTGGGTATACCATATTGAAGTGTTTCCATGCCTTTGCATCTGATGGATGAACAACTTCTCCATCCACTTGTGTATGTTCCGCATGCCATCTCATTGATGCAGCTGTCCTTTCAGATTGATAAAGCCGTTTTAACCTATCAGTTATAGGGAGATACCACATACGTTGGTACGGTATCCTTTTACGCCCACCAGTTTGCGGCCTGTATCTTGGTTTTTGGCAAAATCGACATTCCTCCAGCTGATCATCATCTTTCCAAAAAATCATACAATTGTCAACACATACATCTATCATCTCAGAAGGTAGACCAAGCCTAAAAATCAACTTCTGAATTTCATAGTATGTTCCCGCTGCCAAGTTATCCTCCGGTAGATACTCCTTCAGAAGATCAGCCCAATCATCCATGCAAACCTCAGCCAGGTTATGATCTGTTTTAATTGACATGATCCTAGCTGCCAACGATAATTTAGACAAGCCTTCTCTACATCCTTTGTAGATTGGCTGATTAGCATTGTCTAACAAATCATAAAATCGTTTGGCATCTACATTAGGTTCCTCAACAACATTACCCGTATGCATTTCATGTAATGCATCAGTCACTATTTCGTGCATCCTATCATGATCTACACTTTGGTCATATTGATACTGATTAGGCTGATGACCATAATTCGATTCATCAATATCAACATGACTTTGATAATTACTACTACTACCAGCATTCCCATGAGTATTACTGCCATATCCTTCTCCATGTAGATACCAAACAAAATATTGCGGCATAAACCATCTATTTAATAAATGCGTCCACACGGTTTTGGTTAGTGTATACCTCGTATTCTTGCATTTCAAACAAGGACAAAACATCTTCCTACTATCTTTCGTTCTCTCCATATTTGTAGCCTGATACATAAATATTTCTAACCCGTTCTTGAACTCTTCTGTCAACGCCCCATCTGAATCTTTACGCATATACATCCAACTTCTTAGCTCGTATATAGACATCTTGAAAATAAACTCACAATACTATCTCTTTTTATTGATTAGACAATAAAGGAGGTAGTCTCTTGTGTCACGTCTAGCCACGTGAATGGAGTAAATTAACCTTATAATATTATTACTTCTTTTTTTCAAAGTAATATAACTCTTAATTCGGGTTTCCAACAATGGACAACCCAATATATAAGGATTTACAACACTATACTAAAATTTAAGAGACCTACAATGGGTCTCCAAGATGAAGATGCTCTTATGTTTGAATGATGATGTGTTGTGATTGAATGAAAGAATGAAGATCTATTTATAGGAAAATTTCGGGCTTTACAACGCTTTTACGACGACTTTTTACGACGGTTTTACATTCAACAATGAGTTTACGACGATTTTGCGATAAAATTTTTCATCTACAATTGTTAGGTAAACATGTTTTAAATGTTTTTCACCTAACTTCTTTTTCGACGTAAAATCGTCGTAATATGTACATCGAAATAAAGTCGTCGTATATTCGTCATAATTTTGCATCGAATTTACGACGATTTTACATTTACAAGCAAATCTCTCGTTATCGATGTATAATCGTCGTAATTCGTCGTAAATTGTACGAGTTTACGACGATTTTGTTATACGACGGTTTTACGATGGTTTTAAAATTCGACGTAAGATCGTCGTAAACGCGTTGTAATGTTGCGACAATTTAAAAACCGTCGTAATGGGCCGTTGGAAAACGATTGTTTTCTTGTAGTGCCTTATGAACCGTCGACGGGAAGGAAACCAAGTTTAAAGCACATAAGTCTGGGGTCTTCTAGCAGAATTAAGTCTATATAACGAGAGATAACTTGAAATACTCCTCAAAGGAATTATTTATTCTCTCGTATCCTTCTTCATTCTCTCGTCTCCCTCACGGGTCCCTCATCTTTTAATGAACTTAGAAATCTCCAATTTGTCCTTGTAATTTTCTAAAGAAGAAAATTATAAATATAAATTCAGCCAATGATAATTAAGCGTAGATGAAACAATCAAAAGCGACAAAAAAAATTCGTCCAATGAGATATAAGCACAACTAGCCAATCAGAAACGAGTGTCTCAAAATATGACCAATCAGGAGCATGTCGACAAATATTAGGCGCCAAAAATTTATTTAATCAGGAACATGCTCTGTCGGACCATCTTGAAACCATCTTTGACCAGATTCTTCCCAGCGATCGCGACAGAGAGAACGAGAGAACTCGAATCATTCTTGACATTTTGCTGCACTCATTCGACATTTAAGCTTAATCAAGGTAATTTTCATTTCTCTCGTTGGATTTCTTCCCTCATTCTGATTTTTGAAAGTCGTTGCCCTTGAACCACTATTGGGGATTAAATTCAATTATTGAATAGGGAATTGTAAACTATGGAAATGGTTATTGTTTGCTAATCAAATGGGTATTTAGTGGATTGGAGGTTTAGATGTTAAACTGCAGTAAATCGGAGTTAGATTAGAGTTTTTTCCCCAAGTTGACTAATTATACGAGAGAGAGAGAGTTACAATTGGTATCACTTGCGTACAACTAGAAAAAACTGAAAACATTTTTTATGCAGTTGAGTATGGTCTATCTGTTATTTTTTCAGGTGATAATGATTACTAACATATTTGTTTTTATTATTGGGGATATTATTCAACTTTGGAGGATAAATGGATTTTAGCACCAGCTTCCATGTATGGTATAATGTTTACGTCATCAACTTTGGAGGAAATTACTTATTCTGGTTTAGTGGATAAGATATGCATGAAAGTTAGGATTGTTGAATCTTTGAGTAAGTTGAAACTGAGTTACATTCCGGTACTAGTGCAAACTCAGAGACAATTTTATATTTCGAATGATGATGACCTAGTTGTGTTCCTGGCCTTATTGGATAAAGAGGGATGCTGAAGTATTATTCATGTAGAGGTCATCAAAGGTGTTGAAGTTGGAAATGAATTTTCTAGAGTTGAGAGGGTACGTTCAGTTGGTATCAATTACCGGAGGTTGCGTTTAGGTAATGATGGATTAAATAATGGTGTACTTGCTATTTACACAGCAGCAGAACAACATCAACAAAATGTCCTGGTGATAGAGGAAGCTGATGGTGATGATGGTGATGAGGGAAAAGATGATGATAATGGAAAATATGGTGATGATGTTACACGTGACAATGGAGAAGATGTTGATGATGTATCACATGAATATGCTGATGGAGTAGATAATGTTAAAACTAAATTTGATAACAAGGAGGATGAATATAGACGGTTTGATTTTGATGATGGTCCCTGTGCTAGTGTAGAAACACATTATTTTGAATGGAAAGATGCTATGAATTTGAGATTAGGGCAACAATTTGCATGTAAACAAGATTTGATAGATTTAGTGTATAGAGCTTCATATCAGAATTGTTTTGGTCTGAATATAAAGAATTTAGATAAGAAGCGATACGTAGTGAAATGCGGTGAAACCGGTTGTAATTGGTATTTACGAGCTTGGAAGGATGCGAATACACCCTGTTTTCTGTTATAGTATACCGGAAGATGCATACTTGTTGTCGGACCAGTGCGAGTACAAACAAAAAAGAAAGGAAAAGAACACAAGAATTAGTTACAGCTGTTGTTATGCAAGTGTATCCAGGTCGATTAGATACACCAACTTCTCACAGTGTCATGGTTATGGTCAAAAATATTACTTATATGAGTGTGTTATACTCTACCGCATGGAGACGAATACGTCAAGCTAAATCTTTGGTTCTTGGTTTTCCTGAAGACAGCTATAGAGATATGTACTCGCATTTGTACATGCTAGAGAATGTGAATCCAGGTACAAAACAGAAGGTGTTACTAGACGGACAACGAAGATTCAAATACTTATTTGTCGCTTTGCGAGCTTGCATTGACGGGTTTGTAGCAATGAAAAAAGTGGTAACTGTTGATCCAACTTTTTTGAAAGCCAGAATGGGTTGTCAACTAGTCTTTACTGCTTGTAAAGATGGTGATCGTCACCATTGCTTTTGGAGTAATTGATACAGAAAAATACGACAGTTGGGAGTGGTTTTTTAGGGAGTTGAAAACTATTATACCCGATAGTCCTGAATTGGTTATTGTTTCTGATAGAAATTCAAGCCTCATTAAGGTAGGAGCTGAGGTGTACACGGAAGCTAAACATGGGTATTGCATCTGGCATCTGGCCCAGAATGTGAAAATGCAAGTTTTAAGAGATAGAGATATAATTGCAGACACATTCATGGAGTGCGCAAGACAGTATACAGATGCCGAGTTTCTTGATTATTATAAGAGGATGACATTAAAGTATCCTTCTGTGCCGAGTATCTAGATAAACATGTAGAAGTATGGAAATGGGCCATGTGCTATTTTCCAGCAGAGAGGTACAACCTAGAGACTAGTAACGTTGTGGAGTCCTCGAATAATGTGTTTAAGGATACAAGGAAGCAATCGGTATTACCTATGATGGATGAGATTGTTGCGAAGTTGTGTGAGTTATTTAACAAGCATAAGAATGAAGCTGCTTCTATTCCACCAAGACGTAAACTGGTGGTCTTTGTGGAGAATATATTTCACAGTAGATGGGCTGAAGCAAAGAGGCTAGCTGTCGCCGAGTTAAACATCACTCAGATTGAATACAAAGTCATTGGAGGCGATGAGATGAATTACACGGTGAACTTGAAAAGTAAAATTTGCTCGTGCAAGCGTTTTGATATAGACAAATATCCTTGTGTCCATGCCTTAGCCGCACTAGAAGCTTACTTGAAGCGGCCAAACAGAGAAGAGAATATAAATGTAGAGGACTTGTGTATGATGTATTATTTAACCGAGCAGTGGGCGTTTGCTTATAACAGAACGATCTATCCTGTTCCACATAAGTCACAATGGGTTGTCCCCGATGATATAAAACAATTGAGTGCTTTGCCCCCGGAGAAAGAAACAAAGAGGGGGGGGGGTCAAAATAGTAGAAAAGACATCCATCCGTAGGAGAGCGTCGACCAAAGTCGAAGAACGCGAAGACGAGTAATAAGCGTCGCCCTGAATCTTATGAAATTTATTCCTATTTTACTGCAGGTCAAAATGCTGGAGGTGAAAATGCTGCAGGTGCCTCTGAAAGTAATGCAGGTGATAACATGGTTTAGTTACTCTCGACTATTGTATTGCATATTGAGGAAACGAATATTGTATTTTGAAATGTGATGTTTTACTCGAAATTACTTGGTACAACTACAGTCGACTATTGTATCTGGAAATGTGATGTTTTATCCAAAATTACTTGGTACAACTACAGTCGACTATTGTATTTGGAAATGTGATGTTATACTCGGAATTACTTGGTATAACTACTGTCTATTGTATTTATGTTTTACTCGGAATTACTTGGTGCAACTACAATCGTCTATTGTATTTGGAAATGTTATGTGTAGAAAGTTGGTAAGTTAGCAAGAGTTAATGTGGTAAAAGAAAAAAATACAATTTTTACAAACGTGTTAATGACGTGTAAATTTTTACACTCGTAGACGACGTGTGTTAGCTAACGACGTGTCGTTTTGTTTTTGAACGATGAATCAATGAGTTAATGTGGATAGGGATTTGTGTCACAAATCGTATCTGAAACACATTTCCTCTCCTATGGCAAAGCAAATAGGGATTTTTGATTTGCCCATCGAGATGAAAAACAAAATACTAGAGAAGATAATCAGTAATTCAGTACACGATTACTGTTCTGCTAAAGGGGCTCTTAGGGATTTTAATGAAATCTCTAAGGATCCAATCTTCCTATAGAGCGTAGATTTGATAATCATGCCCACACCTTGGGTGTTTGATATGGCATGGATGAGCATGTTTAAGGATATATGTTTGGCAGAAGGTAATCCAACGAGTTTATTTGAAAGAGGTCTTTCAATTATTTTCTATGACCGTAATAGCGAGGCAGGGATGACTATGATTAAGGAGTCAGCGGAAGTGGGATGCTCTATGGGGAAATACTGCCACAAAATGGTTCTCCTCATCATGTCCGGATGCGAAGTGAGTTTAACAACTGTCACAGATATTACATGGGCAGAAGCATGAGAAATACTTCGAACAATGGCACGTGCAAGCCCGAAGGCTTTCCACGCTGACCCTCCAGAAGTGTTTTCAGATAATGCTTCTTTTGTTATGGACAAAGCAGTGAACTTGCACTGCGGAAGGGAAATGATTAACCCTTATTTCGTTATAAATGGACACATGGAGGAAACCACCAATTTGTGCGATACTTGCTATTGGACAATGCATGCAGCAAAATTCAGTCGTATTATCAAAAGATTCGCGAATGAGTGGCCAAATTGATACTCTCTCCGTTCTTATATATTGTTTTCATTCTCAAATATTTGATGTTATTTGATGTTCTCACAAGTTCAATGTAAAATCAAATTGTTTGTTGTTACTTTTGACTATTTGTAAATAATGCTAATAAAGAGAACGATGTCTGGCTTTTAAGTGTATCAACAATTTAAATGTTTAGTTTTACTCAGAATAACTTGGTATAACTACGCTCGAGTACGGACCTTTGTTGTTCTATCAAATACAAATAGTTGGGATGTGGGTGATGCTAAGAGAATCAAGGGTTACTTTTAGGTTCACGTTTTAAATTTATAACCCTAAATATCTACAAGTGCACAGATGTACGCTGTAGTACTTAGGGGTCGAACCACATAGATTTTGAGGTCTCAGTATGAATCAATCAAAACTTAAGACTAGTAGAACAAGCAAAATGGGGAGTTTTGGTTTTGGTGTCACTAAATCTAAAAGCAATCAAAATAAACAAGTTGTAAAACAATAGGGAACAAACACTGGGTTTTAAGGGTTTTCGCAGGGTTCATGAACTGATCAAAAGGCAAACAAATTGTAAAGGTAATCATCTAGAGAGGATCCCAAACTCGAATAGACACAGGTATGATTAGCCAACTCTCGAACAAGAATGAACGAAGGACTCTTAGAAGATTAATAATCCTAAATCGAATGAAGCGTATGATCAAGACATGAAATTCCCTTTGAAAAATCCCTGAAAAACCCAACTGGGAAATTACTCAGACATAGTTGAGTTCAACATCACAAAAGTATTTAGAATTGCAGAGAATTGAAATAGACAAAGGTTAGAAACGAAGAACAGATTGAAGCAGGAGGGCCGATGGTGCCCTTCTCGGTGGCTCCTCTTCTAGGCGTGACTCTCTTCTAGGATTCCTGGTGAAAAATGTGGCACACCCTTCTAAATGACTTAAGAGGGGTTTATATAGTGTCTTCGGCCATCTGGAACGCCTAGGGCTTGCAGGAATAGTGACAGGAGTGACTTGGGCTTTAAAGTGGGCTTCTGAGGCTAGGAATTTAGCTCCCTGTGGTCTAAAAATTTCGCACCCCCGGTAAATGATGTTTTGGCCGCGGGTGAGCTTCCGACTATGTTGATACGCGTTCAATGAATCAACCATATCTGAAGATCTAACCGTTGGATTGCTTTGATTCCACTTGAATTGGAAAGCTGGTTGTCTGCTCTACGTGTGTTAAAATATAGGATGATCAGACGGTGGGAAGGCCTCTATTTGTTACCAAACCTCCGAAGGTCTGAATTTATCCAAAGTTATGCTTTTTGCTCCCAAGTGCATTCCTTTTGTCAAAATATCCTGAAAACTCTTTTGAGATTCTAAAACATGAAAATCATTTAAAAGCCTTTAAAACTGAGTGAAAACACCTGCATAAGATATTAAAAGTGATCCAAAAAAGTGGTAAAAATCAGGTGTTATCAGTGGGGAGGAGAATCGAGAGCGAGAATGTTGTGTAAAAGAAAAGTTAAAGTAAACCAAGTCACACTTTTAGATCAGAGAATGTCAGGTAAAAATTAAAGTAACCCGATGGAATATTCCTCGATACAGAAGAAAGTTGATGAAATAATAGTTAGAATATTATTACAATTATCAACACATATATCTATTATCTCCAAAGACAACTGATGGGCTTGCGGGCCTAGGGTTGTTTTTATCAAGCCCGTTGGTCTTCTAAAAATTTTGAATTTATAAAACCCTAATGTCTGCAAGTGCATAGATGTACGTTGTAGGACTTAGGGTGTCGATCCACAGGGAAGATGTCTAATCTGCGAGAAACAACAAACTCGGAAATAAGCAAACTCATAAACCAATAAAAGTTTTGAGGTTTTGGTTAAGATCCTAAGCTAAACCTAATCTAATATTCACAAGAAATGCAATGCAGGATGAATTGTAAAAAGAACATCTAAAGCATATTGACTCAAACTAAAGACTCTTAAACTCATAGGTGGCGATTTAGACTTCTCCGGGTTAATCTAATCGATGTATGATGGCATTTCCAATTAGCTTCCGGGCAATTTATCTTCATCTGTTTCTGGGAATCTGCATTGAACTAGTATAAACATATGTATGATTAACCAACTGTCGTCACCTTAATCAACTAATCTCTTAGATCTAGCAATTAATTCTCGCTCTCATGCTAAACCTAAGATCATGCATTGGACATTGAATTCGTCTGCTCACATCTTCTCTGTAGGTAGCTCTCGACTCCTATAGCGACTATGTTCTTCTGAAGCTAGGTATGGATGATCTGATACAACACTCTCGTGGCTCTGATCGATCCTAGGCTCAGTGAATAGGTCATGAGTCTACTCTCATGCTTTATGAACAACTTAGAAGAGATGAGATCCAGAATATGGCTTAGAACAATAGAAATCCTAATCGATATATATATATATGCTTGTCGATATCTTCAAACAACTTGACTCTCTGGGACTAATCTACATGATGCAATGAATGATGAAAGACATAGAATAATGCAAAATAATGAAACAGAAAAGTTAATAAGATAAAAAGGAGAAAGAACAATGGATATGGGGAAAAATCCCCATCTCCATCGCCTAACCCTAGAAAAACAGAGTTTGGTGGCTCAAAATCTCATTAGAGGAGCACACACCCGTTTAGGGCTGCTAAACAATGTATTTATAGGTCTTAAGGTCTTCTAGATCTTATTTAGGGCTTCTCTGAAGAGAAATGGCGAAGTGGGCTTTGATGTTGGGCCTTGTGGCTCGTCCTAAGGTCCACCAGGGGTGAGAGTCTTCCAGGGCAGGTAAAACATGTGTTTTCCGCAGGTGAGAGTCTTTCGGGACTGGTGAACTGGGTCAATTTGTTCTCCTTGTATCTTTTTATTGCCCGTTAGATCTTTGTAATGTAAAGTGCTATGGAAAGCTGGTTGTCTCCTCTTGATTGTCTCCAAATTTGAGCTGTATCAGACGATGAGAAAGTCTTCATTTGAGGCTGAACTTTTGACGGTCTGACTCTGAGCTAAAAATGTGGATTTCAAGATTAAATTCAAGTAAAATAAGCTAGTATATCCTGTCAGAAAAGATCTTCATGAATAGAAGTCCTCTGGTGGGATTTCGTAGTGTAAGTACTCTAGCTACCGCCTAGTCTAGTACTAAACCTTGAAAGAGCTTTCATGAGTGATTGGTGTAGAAGCAAACAGGTTGGTTATCATTATCGATTTTGTCATTATTCCCTCAAAATGTATATGACCTTTGAAAACACTTTTTGAAACTCAAAAGACTTTTGAAAAGTTTTAATAAAAATAAAAAGAAAATTAAAATTTTTTAAAGAAAATACAGAATGCAAGGGCTCATGCAAGAAAAGGTGGTTAGAAAGGGATGAAATCATCCCCTAGACTTAAATCACACTGCCCCCAGTGTGAAATAAATCAGGCAAAGATGAGAAATAGAGTATGTGAAAAATTTAAAAGGTTAAGGAATAGAAAACTTACCTGGAGTTGGTGATGGATTGTGAGGTGGTTGTGGTGGTGATGCTTGATCAAACTTGGATGCTAGGGATCCAGAACAGATTTGGTCAAGGTGGTGTTGGAAGTGGCCAAGGATGGAATGGAAGTGGCCAAGGTGAAATGGAGGTGGCCAAGGTGAAATGGAGGTGGCCAAGGTGATCGGCTGTGCTGGCTGCAGGTCGGAGCATCGCGGCCGCGGTGGGACGCGTGCCAGCCACGGGCCAGACCTTCTTGGCCACGGTAAAACGCCTGCTGGCCGCGGCTGAACCTCCTTTGGCCGCGGTCAGCTCTTTTTCTTTTCTCTTTTCTTTTT